CATAACCTTACAATAACTGAGATCATGCTGAAAGACAATTGGGTCACTTGTAGCTCTTTACTCTATCAGGCTCAAAACAACAGATCACATTTATTTTCATCAGTCACTTCAGATGAAAAGCATGATTAGAGATGTTAATAATAATAGTTCAATTTTTCAGTTATTACCAGAATTTAAAATCCTACTTGAAGCAGATACTTCAAGCTGCCTTGAACTTAGGAAGGCAAAATAAAAATGCTTTAGTATTCTAAAAAGAATGCTCTGTATTTTAAGAAACTGAAGATAGATGTGTTTATCTCTTCTCTTCATTTGGTTTTATTTTAAATACCAATGTTTTGTATATCTAGATATTGTACAGCAGGCTAGACCAAAGTACACACTCTTATGAAAAAATTATTGGCATAGCCAAGCATAGTTAAAGCCCTTGAGATAAAATGTCTTAAATATGTTTTAACTCTATGTGGGATTGTGGCCACTGTATGATATAAATTTCTACTTTTGGACTAATCTTACAAAGCCAAAAAGACTTGGCATAAAATGCACTAAATTGGGAACAGATGGCAATTCTACCCTATATTTATACTGACAAGACAACTGAGGGTCTAATAATATCACTCAGAACATCAGAGTTTCATATATCTGCTTATCTTCCACTGTGATAAATGCCATAATTTGTGCTCAACTGTACAAAGGAAAAATAAGGAACAAATAAACGGACACAAGTAAAAAAACAGTATAATTAAAAAATCAGTACTTCCCTTCTTTGAATACTCTAGCACTTGTCTCAGTGTAGCCAGTAATAAACAAAGAAATTGCAAATACTGATTTTACTGCAAAAACAGTGAGCTGAAATGTATTAAGAACAGCCAGCCCAAATGCAACCCAAAAGATCAGAACAACAGCCTTCATTTAGTGTTGATTTTCCAAACACTGATGATTTAAGGTATGCGACCTGGGGTTCAGAAAGAGGCAAACATCCATCACAACAAGTAGTCATTCATTGCCCAATCTTTATTACCACATCCAATGGCAACAAATCCCACACTTAAATTATTACTTGCATTTAATTTCTGTGGATGATGCCATGTTTTCATATTCTGAGACAGGAAGGAAAACCTCTATTCATATTTTCATAACATATTATCATCATAATTTTCTTTTTGCTATTCCCTCCTCCTCTAACCAAGTGTATAATCAAATCTTTATTAAGGTCTTTGACCAGACTTTGTAAAACTAAACTAAACAACAATTTGTTATCAGGGAAAGAAAAAAACAATAAGACAATGAAATGACATAACTAATTAAAAGGTTTGCGCAAGTGTATAACATGATGAAGATATCTGGCCACCTGGTATGTGAGTGTTGAGTCAGCATCCTTTAAAAGGTAATAAACATAAAATATATCGGTATTTTAAATTTAAAGATGAATGGGGAGATCAGAGCACATCTTGGAGCATCATAAAAAGGACACCGTAAGAGAACATGAGAAAGAGTTTCTACCTCTCTGGATCCACAAGGGCAAAGTCTCTGTAAATAAGGAGTCCCATGAAATCTTCCTGCCAGCGGTGCTGAAGGGGGGGCATCAAAGCAGACTTTGGAAAAGGCCCATCTATATTTATTTAGGGTTAGATTGTATCGATACCCCACAGTAGAGGGCTTGTGGCCATCTAACATTTGGTGATAGAATTCAGGAGCACTGGTGATATCATTTTGGTGATCAATGTCCCTAATTGTTTCTTTTGTCATTGATTTGGCCTTTTCCAGGTTAATTGGCCTAAATATTCAGGAGAGAGGCCAAGGCTGCAAAGCTCTTCTATACAAGTAGGGTGCTAATGAGACTGGTAGCTATCTGACAACAGCAGAGGCATCAGGCCAGTAGGGTCAAACGTGATTCTAAGTCCTGAGAATCACGACTTAGAATCTTGGTCCAGGCCTAGGTCTTAATGCTTGGCACATTGTGTATATTTAATCTGTTTCTCTTGAGAAACTACAGTAGTTTAGAGCCTATAAAAATGTCATCCCATAATAAATGTGTCTTTCATATTAAAAATAAATCACTTTTACCTGGTTTTTCCACTTTAATTACTTCAGCTCCAAGATCTCCCAGGTTCATAGTGGCGAAAGGTCCTGCAAGTACCCTGCAACATTTAATAATGGAATTTATGTATTTATGTATTTACAGGACTTATATGGCCACCTATCTCATACAATGACTCTAGGTGACTCACAACAATCTATAAAACATAGTTAAAAACAAAGATACCCTTCCCTCCAGGCACCAGACCAAACATCCTCCCAGCTCAACCCCCATCCTAGTCCAATAGTTGGGGGAAGAGCTAGGTCTATGGCCTCCCAGAAGGCTAAAAGGGTAGAGATCCCTCAGATCTCAGGTGGGAGGCTATTCCAAAGGGCTGGGGCAGCCACTGAGGAGGCACTCCTCCAAGCTCCCATCAGATGGGAACATTTAAGGGAGGGGACCTGGAGCATGCCCACCCTATCTAACCTAGTAGGATGGGCAAATACCCTCAGAGAGAGGCAGTCCCACAAATAACAAAAATATTATCATTTTTATTTATTTATATTTATTAAGAATTTTCTCATATAATAAAAGACCAATCAAAAGAAAAAAAGGAAAGAAACAAAAAGAGCAAGAAACAAAAAAGTGCAAGAAAAGAAAAAGAAAGAAAAAACTAAAGAAATATATGAATGACCTTCTTTTCAACAGATAATTGCAATTTTATTGTCCCTCCTCCAAAAATATTATTATTTTTGTCAAAGACTTTCCATGAGGAGTTTTAAATAATTCTCTGAACTACAGTCAAAAGAAGCACAAACCTTGTTAGATCAAGAATTCTCACACCGTCGAGTGGCTTCACTGTATCAGCACCTGGTAATAGGTAAGGAAATGTTATAATAACCATCAATTCATTATCAGGCCAATGTCACATAGAAAAGTTTACTGTTCGCTCTAATTAGCATGATTTACAACTCCTAAACACAGATCATAAAGGACAAATTTCCTCAACGGGTACAAGACCAGAAGCAGGGATAACCTCTAGCAATGATTAGTATTAAAAATCTTTGCCACAATTGTCTCTTGTACTGTACTGAAAAATTCCCTTTCTTCTTTTGGAGAGAGATCTTGTTTTTTAATCCAATCCTGCCATCCTTTGGAAAGATGCTTTTGTTACACATGCTTATGTTAAATCTACAGTCAGGCTTTCCTTTGTTTAAATATTTTGAGTGCCTCCCAAACTTTATGTGGGGAGACAAAACTGTTTTCCTGCCACAAGAGTGTAAGTCAGCTACTCTGTCAAAGACTTTAAAGGGAAAGAGAGTATTTGATAACATTCTCTGGAAAGACAACAATGAGACTTATAATTTAGGAATCAGAATGTTCACTACATTTAAGCATTTGTGTATCAGTGAGTGAACATTTTTGAAAATGGAAAATCTAACTGTGCTCAGAGCCACATCCATTGTTAGACAAAAGACAGAGATGTTTTGGTAGGCTGAAGAAAACCAAAAATAGTTGCAATGGTATAGCTCTAGCAGGTATAGGCTTTGGAATGTGTTATAGGCATGCACGTCAACAATGTCTTAAACAAAACATGTATTCTGGGGAAATTGTGTTGCAACTGCAAAGCACCTTTTTGCTTAGAAACTGAACCACTGTACATTTCTATTCCTTAACTTTGATAAAATCCAAGGATACTTGCTCATCTAGTAATTCAGAGGCAGTTCTAGATGCTACCTGAAATCCTTACAGAATAAGGTACAACTTAACTGCAGTTCAATTATTCTGTTATACTCATACAGCCCATTGAAAAAATCTGAATTTTCTCCTTAACCCCAATCCACATATTTTCCATTGTGAAATCCAAACCCTGCAACATCATGACCTTTTCCCCTTTCCTCTGCTTCCCCACCTGTTTTTTGTAACATACTGTCTGATGAAGAAACCTGAAAGCCTTGAAAGCTTGCACATTTTTGTGACCCTTGAGCTAACCTATAACTATTGCTCTCATATAGATTTTTCTTAAACTCATGACTGCCTCAGCTTTTTAACATGGTTTTCTTCAAACCAAGTTTCCTCCAAGTTTCCTCCAAGTTAGAAAAAAAAAAAAGTTTTGAAAATTGCAAGACATTGTCCAGGCTTCTTATTAAGTGAAGCTGAACCACTCTCTCAATCTGAAGAAAAACAGAAGAAAAAACAGAAAACCAGATTCAAGCAAAACCTTGAATTGACAAGGCCAAGAAACAGAAAGGAAATGAAGGATACACACACATGAATGAATGAATGAATGAATGAATGAATGAATGAATGAATGACTGACAGAGAAAAATGTAGAAGTGTAGAATCAGCTGACTGTAGAGTACATCCTTGACTTTATCCTTTATAGTTCCATTAGCAGTCTTAAAGCTTTTCCACATTGCAGCTTTTAGCTGCTTATCTTCCATATAGAAAACAGCTGGAAATGAAGCCAGCTTAAGAAATCCCTTTCTGGATTGCAACCCCCTCTTTCACTTGGGCCTTAGTGATGGCAAGTTGTTGTCTGGACCATGGTTAACACAGCCCCCATGTGATAGATTTCCCTGCTTTTTCCCCCTCCCACCTATGGCAAGAAAGCAAGTGCCAATTGTTTTCCCTTTTTTGGACAGATCTTTGGAGGACTGGTGAAAAAAAAAAATGACAACAGTTTTTAAAATCACTGGGGAGCAAGGACAAATTTAGCAGGACTCTTGTCAATTTCACCAGCTTAAACCAAAAGAAAATAGCTGGCATTTCAAAGTTCCACTATACTTCTTAAAAGAATAAAATACACAAGAAATGGCCAGAATTTCACCAAACCAAACAAAAAATGTCCAGCCTTTCATGGCAGGCAGTCCAGTGGCTCAGTACAAAATGACTACTCAGGGCAGAGAGTAGGGACAGGGGTGGGGTGGGAAGTTGGAGGCATTTGTACAAGACAGAGGGCCAGATTGCCGTGGTTATGCCAGTGGAAAGAGTGGAAACACTTCTTTTGAGGCAGAGCAAGAAAATTTCAATGGAGGTCACTTTCCCAGCAGCATAAGGGCAAGCTGAGGTAAAGGTCATCCATCCCTGCCTTTCCAAAATGGTAAGTGGTCTATCCTTGCCGTGGAGATTGGGAGAATGGACCTTATAGAGGGATGGTTTCATCTGGATCCACTGTTAAAACATGGATCAGCCATTCTTTTGAAGTCAAGAGATGCATTTAACTTTTGAGTTACATGCTTGGGCCTATAATCTAAGGGAGCAAGACCAGAACAAACAACTGACTTGGACAAGAAAAAGAATCAAATGGGATTTAATTTGATTTTAATTTAAATGTAATTAAAATTAAGTATAGTTAATATGATTATATTTTCTGTATTTCGTAAGTCTCTATTTGGAAAATCTCAATTCAGTGAAACTCTTGAATAAACTCCAGACAAAGATCTAACACTTCTCAGGGCTACATGCAGCCTAGAGGCTTTATAAGGATAGTATGTAGAATTACTAAAGACCTCTGCCATATCTCTTGCATAGCCTTTCTGATTCTTCTGGAGTAGAGAGTACCAGTTTAGATAAACCAACCAGTAGTCTGATTCAACACGGCGACTTCATGTATTCTGATTGATTTAATGTATCAGTCTAATTATAGCATTGGTAACCACTTAAATCCATTATCAAGCATTCCCTGCTTCTCCAGAAGAGGAGGGCTAAAGCCTCAGCCTCAGCTGTTGGGGGAAGAGATAAAATGGAGATCCATGGGTAAGCTGCTTGAACTCCTGGAGGAAAGGTGCTGGTAGAAATTAATTAAATAAAAGTAATAAACAAGACATGTTGAAAATGTCAATCTGCATTACAAGGTAAAGACTCCCTGAAGCCAAATCCAGCTCATGATGATTTCATAGACACATCCTGCGAAAGTACAAAAGCGGTTTGCCACTGCCTTCTTTTGGGACTTTTTTTCAACTTCCCAATCTAGTATACAGCCTTGGGATCTCATAATGGTCTTCCAGCCAAGTATAACCACGTCTGAACTCTGCTCAGCTTTTTGAGATTAGCCAAGATTAGCTACGTGCTGATTCTTAACTGGGCATAAATTTGTGTTAAAACAATCACTTTGCAATGAATATTTAAGCCACTCTAAGCACCATTTAATGTAATTTGTAAAACACTGTTTTACTTGGAAATAAATTCTCCAGTCCATGCTATTTCTTAGGTAGCAATTGTAAGCATATTTTCTATGAAATATATCCAGTTAATACTCATGGATGGAAGTAGAGGTGATAACTCACAAAAAACTCAAGCAACAAGAACCTTGGCTTTTCTTCAAGATGCCTTGTGGTTTCTTGTGCTGACAGAAGACTAGCCCGGCCATCTCTTTGGAAACTTTGGTTCAGTTGGTTTTTTTTTTTTTTTAACGCAAGATCTGCAGAACTTCCCCCCAAATCTGCAACAATTGTGATATCACTTCGATTTGATTGGTTGGTTACACGCCATCAAGTCGTTTTCGACTGCTAGAATCTGACAAAGACAGATTTTCTCTATGAATCGCTTCAATTTATACTCTGTTGCAAATGAAAGGTACCGAAGTGAAATTGCTCCTGAACGCCTTCCCTAAGTTCTCCTCTGCTGCGGCGTACAGCCCGACCGCGACTCATAACTCACAACCTTCGGCAGCGGCCTGACTGAATGAAGAAGGTTAAAAGCGGCTACCTGGACAGGGGCAGTTTCCCTGCTGCAGCCCCCTGAAGCTGCCAGGGCAGGAGGGAAGTCGCATGAGCTGAGGGCAGCCCAGGAGACCGAGAGAGGAGCCGACGCCGCCGGCCAGAGCCGCGTACAGGCCCTTCCTCAGGCGGTACATGCTGCGGCTGCTTCTTCCCACCTCAGCCCCCGCACGCCTCCAGCTGACAGCGGCCACAGCTGAAGCCGACTCACGAAGCTACTGGGCAGCGGACACCAGCAGCTCCACGAAACTTTGGACTCTTGGACCAAGTCTTCAGAGGTGTGCATTGCGCAGACGCGGTGAACACTTTGGTTCTGCCTCAGCTGGGCTAAACGCACGACGCGGGGGGGGGGCAGTGAGAAAGTACGCAAGCGCAAGCTGTAAGACTATGTCCTCGACGCTGTCTATTAAGAGGTGGATCCCGCCTCTCTCCTTTTTTTAACGATCGCTGAAGATCTTTCCGTTCTAGGTATCGTTGGGATGGCATGGTCTGCAAGCGTGAGCAAGAATGCCACTTTTTCCTAGAAGCAACTGCATGCCAAAGCAGAATAATAAAATAAAACAAAGCAGGTGAAGCTTCCTCCATCAGTTTTACCGATGACCGGGAAAAATCTGCTCCTAACCCCCATCACCCATGGCGAGGCATAATGGGGAGCTTGGAAGGAGACAAGAGGAGATACAGAAAAATAAGGCTGTAGCTTTGCAGCCCCCTTCTTCCCAGATTGATCGGTCTACAAAACATGGAGGTGGGGAAACGCAACGTCGGACCTCATAGAGTTTAACCTTGCAGCCCACCCACGCACGGCGATTCGGAAGCTCGTCCCTCCAAAATCAGCCACGCTTTCGCTCCAAAGTGCGCAGGTTGGTGGTCCGAGGTCCAAATACTGTGCGATTTAAAGGGAAATTCCATGCGAGAAAGCACCCTAGAAAGTGAGATCCTACTTGGAAACATAGTAAGAGGCCAATACCGAACTTCCAAATACGCTGGAAGAGAACCCCCAAATATAGTGAAATAAATGCCACGTGGAGTTTGCAACTGACACTTCAATTGTATCGGAGCCTTAGATTTCTATCGCACGCCCGTACTGAAGATTTCAGTTGAATACACCCAAACCCATTTAGATTCGAAGAATCCATCCTACATATTACAGTATCGTAAGAACGTGCAAGACAAAGGTCTCGGTTTGCCTAGAGCCGCTCTCCAGCTCACGCGGAACGGGACAGACGTCACGCCTGCAGCCTGGCTGCGGAACGGAAGGCGCTCGGCGGAGCAGTTTCGAAGGAGGGCTGCAAACCAACTGACTCCGGAGCTCCTCCTCCTCCGGGGGTTTCTAGGCGAAGGGAAGCGCCGGTCGCCGCCGCTGTTTTCCCGAGGTCGCCATGTATCGGCAGGGCTTCCGGCCCCCCACCCCGCCGTCTTCGGGCGGCTCCGGGTTTCTGAGCCCT